TGTTCTCAGATTTCTATACATTGAACAATATACTTACTCAGGGCCGGCCCTAACAATTGCGGGGCCCTATGTGAAACGGATTGCGCGGGGCCCAGTCTGGGTAGGGATAAGGATAATAATTGAAAATTAAGATTTTGTATTAGAAAATAGATTCGTCTTTGCATTTTATTCCTTCTTTACTAAGTACAAAATCACGATCAAATTAACTTTACTTTACGAGCCTTGCGTGTAGCGAAGTCATACAGTATATCATCAAAATTCTGTTTCCTACATAGATCACGCTCAATAGCAGGAATTGCCAAATCGTTCAATATATCTTCGTGAATTGTTGACCTCAAGTAATTCTTGATTAGTTTGAGGGGCGAGAAGCTACTTTCACCAGATGCCACAGTTACGGGTATTGTTACAAATATTCTGAGTGCAACAAAGTAGTTTGGGAAAGCAGTGTATCTGTCATTAGTGGACAGATAAGCCAAAATTAGCGCGGGGCCTATGATAGTGCGGGGCCCACTGCGGCCGCATAGGTTTCAGTGGCCTAAGGCCAGCCCTGTACTTACTCACCTCGATCATTCCCCCCTGTTTATTATGTGAGGCAAAAATCGTGTAGCTTTATGTTGAGATGAACTGGGTAAAAACACAAAAACAATGTACTTTTGAAACATCTTGAAAATATTGAAATGGACATAACTAAGAACAATTTTTGGATGGCGCTTAAAGGTAATAGACGCAAAAATGATTTAACATTAAACAAGTTATTAATCAATATCTTTGTTGATCCCAAGTAAAAAATTACCGGTGTGTATAATAGTGAGACTTTTTAACGATGTATATATATATATATAATATTTAACAAAAAAAATTATTAGATTGATTGATATTTTTTTTCAAATGTAAGATTATTATTTTTTTAAATTTATTTATTATTACTTTATTTTTTTGGTTTGGGGGGGGGGGGGTTTCGATAAGTAAAAGAGAGAATGTTTCTAAAACTAAGCTACTTATCTTTAATTGTTTTGGCTAAAAAGATAAAAATAAAAATAAGTTATATATATATATAATATTTAACAAAAAAAATTATTAGATTGATTGATATTTTTTTTCAAATGTAAGATTATTATTTTTTTAAATTTATTTATTATTACTTTATTTTTTTGGTTTGGGGGGGGGGGATTCGATAAGTAAAAGAGAGAATGTTTCTAAAACTAAGCTACTTATCTTTAAGTGTTTTGGCTAAAAAGATAATAATAAAAATAAGGAAAATAATCGCTCATAGCAATACAGCGATGCGTTAATGTCAAATTGACTACTAACGATACAATCATTTTAAAATCACCATTTTATCATTATAGTTAAATTATTCAACATTTTCCCTCTAAATATCCACTATTATTAACTTAAATGTGTGTACACAGTCTCGACTCATTGTTTATATTTACATTTCTTCCTCAATCTGTTAAAACTGGGTTTTTTTTTTCACCCTAAATGCATTTTCTATTCTTTATTATTTTTAAAAACTATTTTATTCCTTTATAAGATAAGTTTTTTTTATATAAAAAATAATTATTTAAGATTTTAAAAATTATAAAATTAAATTCGAACGATAAAATAAAATATGTAATGTGAGTTTTTATGGACTCCAATTTAATTTTTGTTTCTCCTTTTCTTCCATTATTTTTTGTTTAAATTGCAGTTAATCATTTGCATAATTTAATCAATATTTTTACAATCTGGCACTTTTGTGGGTATGCAAACGCAGAATAAATGCAACGCGTAAAACGAAAATTTCATTTAAAAACAACAAATAACGAAATAACGAATTAATTCCTTTGATAAGATTCCTTTTTTTTTTTTTTTTAAATGTATTATACACACACACAAAACATACACTGGTTATGAGATTCGCCACCGCCACTTCGACCGTACCATTTCGCTGCTTAGACTTTTCGCTGACGGCTTATTTTTATGGACAAAGATTTAGAAATTATTTTTAAAAACTTATAGCGTGAAAAGACAGTTTTACAAGTGATTACAATTATTTAAAAACAAAAAAACAAAAAAAACCGCAAAGTATGTGTTGCTTAACAGGGCATCTGTGTCCAGGGCATCTGTGTCCAGGGCACCTGTGTCCAGGGCACCTGTGTCCAGGGCACCTGTGTCCAGGGCACCTGTGTCCAGGGCACCTGTGTCCAGGGCACCTGTGTCCAGGGCACCTGTGTCCAGGGCACCTGTGTCCAGGGCACCTGTGTCCAGGGCA